TATAACAAATGAACTGCAAACCATGTTAAAAATCATGTTTAGGTTATGTGCTGGCACTGTAGGGACCCATAGAGGCCGTGTTACATGTTAAATTGTATTCTAAATTGCTGTTGTACTCAGTCTCCGTTTTACTTGCATATCATATCTCAGTCTCTTTAGTTCCTTGTTGATACATTAATCATTTTTGTTTGGGCTAATTTCCATGATTTCTAAGAGCCCAAGAGACTAGAGTGGTTGGTGACTGAGTTGGGGCCTAAGTGCCGAGCTGTGAGTAATTTATGTATATATATGGATCGGGTTGCACGCCGCAACGAGCCTTATGGATGTATATATGTGGATCGGGTTGCACGACGCAACGAGCCTTATGACTATATATATTTATGGGATCGGGCTGCACGCCGCAGCGTGTTTCATTGATTTATGCCATGATTGTCTTGATATAGTGCTTGGGCTGAAGGAGCCCCTTCGGAGTCTATACACACCCCCAGTGAGCGCAAGTACCTACTGAGTACGAGTGTTGAGTTCCAAGTGCCGAGTGCTGAGTGATTGAGAGGGCTGAGTGACTGTTGCCTTGAGAGGATGCTTTTGATTTCATTATTGTTGCATTTAGCCGCAATGTATCACTGTCTTGAAATTTTTGAAAGATATTACTCTCTGTTTTACTTAAACTTGTCGTGAAGTAACTGATTGGACTTAAATTATCAAACTTGAAAGCATGCCTACTTTCTTATGTTGAAATTACTGAAATTAAACTATAACTGTGAAGCTCGTCACTACTTTCAGTTCTTTATTTAGTCTTGTTACTTACTGAGTTTGTTGTACTTACGCTATACCCTGCACCTCGTGTGCAGATCCAGGTGTTTTCAGACACAGTGGGTGTTGATTTCTCTGTGCAGTTGACCCTTTGGAGATTTCGAGGTAGCTGTTCGGCGTTCATGCAGACCTTGCTTCTCCTTCCCTATCCTTCCACTTACTGTATTTATTTTCGGATTATGAGAGACAGTATTTTCTCAGACTTGTGATGTTTAGATGCTCATGTACTCAGTGACACCCCGATGTTGGGAGTTTCCACGTTGTATTTTGGATTTTCAATCCTGTTTACGAAAAGTTTCAGTATTTAAACTGCTTTAAATTCATTTTATAATGAAAGTGTTAGAGTAAATTTGTAAATGTCGGCTTGCCTAGTACCACGTTTGGTGCCATCACGAGATGTTAGGATTTGGGTCGTGACATAATCAGTATTCCAATGAGGTGAGAATAATATACTAATGTCAAAATTTATAAAATACCTCCAAATCCCCATCTGAAAGCTTTTTTCCGCCATTGTTGTCACCAACATTTCTTCTTTTCGGACCTCGAACTCTAGTTGTTACCATGTCATGTTTATTCCTACTAACCTTTATACCATCATCCTTTTTGGATGCTCGAACTTTAGAATTTTAAAATCGTACTTTTGTAAATCTAGCAGTATCATCCCTTTTAAAAGCCGATTCATGGGTTGCATGTGGAGTGTCACGACTTAAATCTACGTGAACGGCACCCGGCACACTACCCAGCCCGAGTGAAAATCTTGTACATTTTCAAATCAAGTCACAAAATATTTTTCATTTTCAAAATCATACATGAAACTTTTCATAAAAATTATGTAATCAAATTAATTAATTATTCTTTTATGCACGACGTCCATAATCTTATTTTTACAATCCAATATAACTATATATGGAGCCTCTATAACGAAGAATAAAACTACACTTGGAATAATTCTAATAAAAGAAAATAAGAAACAACATGATAGCTACGAGATAAAAGTGGTGCTTCATCATACCTTGGAAAGAGAGTCATCCTAGCCTTGTCCTACATCACATGCCACATCTTATCGTGAAATACGTAAAGAAAGCGGGACCCTAAGGAGGGGCCCCTAAGGGCTGAGTACACCACCATGGTGCTCAATAAGTGTCATAGACTCTCTTTAACTTAAGTTCTTGGGACAAACTTTATAAAAATAATGCACCAATATTTGATATAAAACGATAAGTTTTATCAGTTCACGATCTTTATCATTTTAATAAAAGACAAGTGAAATATAACACATGATATAAACTTCTAAAAATTTTATATCCATCTAAGTTTTTGAATAAAATCATACGAAATCATTCCATTTGCTTTAAGTCATTGAAATCACTTTCGGCTCCTTAGGCCTTAACAAAAGAAAATTATTTTTTACCTTTCACCAAGAGCACTATACCGACACCGACCCCGACATAAGAACAAGATCAACTAGGTAATCAACCTAGCGGCAAGTATCATATACCCTACTTGCTCAGGTCGTCTCATCATAGTGCCGCAAGAATCGACTCAGCCATACTAATATAGCACATTTGCCTTACTTGGGGGAGTTATCCTACAAACCTCGGCTTAGCCTTGAAATGTGTCCCTACACCGGCATGTGTAGTTTAATGGTAACGAACTCAATATTCGAACCAATCTCGGTGGTCTCCACTAGTAACTCCCAAAGCAATTGACATTCAAAAAATAGATTCATAGCATAGTAGCCTCAAAGGATCTATTTTTATCAAATCATAACATTAATAGAAAGTCTAAACCATTTGACCAAAAAAATAAATAAACAGCCTTCTACATGTTAAAGTCTTTAGCAATTTAACATCAATCTTTAAAAGATACCACAAGTGCTATTCCATTCATCAATTTTCAATAAAAATACTTTCCATGAAAATATATCTTTAGCACTCAAATATGTATACTCTTATCAATACGTAAATTTTGATAAAAACTTATAACATTTACCTTAAGTGTCATTTTTCCAACAAGATTTAAAATAAAATTTTATAAAACAACATGACACTACATATGCAACATAATATTTTAGTACATGGAGACATCCGCACTTGTTTGTCCCCACAAGCACGAAAGCACATTTGCAAACAACTTAAGAATTAACCTGAAACATGCTTTTAGAGAAAATCCCTCAAGAAGAGTAAGTTTTAATCAACTTACCTCACTTTCGCTTTATTAACATTCACAAGCTTCCAATTCTCTTTCATTGTTCCATTGATGATTAAAATGATCAAACATCACCAACAAGTCGATATCTACAATTAGATATCCTAATTACGTCAAAATATAACCTAAAATATTGATCAATATCCGTTTATGGTTCATAAGTAGGCTTCAAGCCTCCAACAACTCAAATCGCCCAATAGATTCATATGCTAGTCAATTCAACTTCTTATAATTTAATATCCACAGTCATTAACGATACTGCATCAATTGTCTAATGCCACCAAGTTACTGTTCATCGTCTTCCTTAATCAACACTTGCAAAATATACAATTCGGATGATTACTTAGTTGATAACTTCCAACTTTTGCTAATAAATAATTCCATAGGTTCATTGTATTCATCCAATTTTATTTTGTAAGAACACTATTTACTTTCTCCCTCATCTTCTCAATGACACTACTTACACCATGAACTAAGGTTTATCGGCCAACTTTTCAACCTTTAATATTTATGAAGAATGTTACAAATACGTCTAACTACTCATAATAAATGAGTTTAGAGTATTAGAATTACCTCTTGAAGCTTTCCTAAAAAAATTCCAATGTTTGAAAATTTTGGTGTTCTTGAACAACTTGAATGATTCCTTGTATGCTTAAGTAGTCCCCAAGGTCGAATCTACTATGAAAGAACCAATCCCTAACTCAAAAATCCCCAAAAATGGGCTGCTGCCTGTGACTGCCTTATATAGGTACAAGTGCTTTAGCGAGTTGTACCTTGCGCTATGCAGGTTGTACCTCGTATTAAGTTTTTTTCCTGGGACACCTTTTACTAAAACGTCCATAACTCCCTGTAAAAATGTCTAAATGATGAATGCTTTGAAGAGTTAGAAACTTGACTCGAATAGCTTTTATTTGATAGGTTTTTCATCACATAACTCATTATATATATATATATATATATACGCAGATCATTTTTTAATTTAAGGAGTTGAGTTAACGACTATTTGAGTTCATTCAATGTCTTCTACTGTTGGACTCTAAATCCGATCCTTACACTCCAAAGATGAGGTAAAAATTACACGGGGCATCCTATTTGGTCGTCCCATTAACCTGTACCCACATTTTAAATTTTTTTAATTTATACCCACTGTTTAAACAACTTCTAGCATTTTTCTCATCTTTCTTCTTCTTCTTCTTCTTCTTCTTCTTCTTCGTGTAACAATAATTTTATATGGTGTTTGTGAACATATTTTAAGGTAGTTTATGATGTTTTACAGCGGTGATCTGGTGTGGCGGTTTCTTCTTCTTTTTTTTTTTTTTTTTTTTTTTTACTATTGCTTAGTTTTTTTTCCCCCTTAATTGCAAAATGGGGTCGTTAGATTTATTGTTGTTTTGACAAATTGATGATTAAAGTTTGTTCTTGATGATATTTGGAGGTTATGTTTCAAATTTGAGCTTATCTGGAGTAGATTTAGGTATTAAATCGAATATTGGATTGTTAAAATTTGAAGAACAAATTTCTGTTTCTGGGCAATTTGCACTTCAGGCCTATTTGGCCTTAGGTGCATGAAAACGTTGGTTGCACTTTAGACCTTTTGGCCTTAAGTGCATCTGAAGTGCAATTTTTCACTTCAAACTTATTGGCCTTAAGTGCATGAAACCATTTGTTGCACTTCAGACGTATTTGGCCTTAACTGCATCTGAAGTGCAATTATTTCACTTCAGATCCGATAAGTCTGAAGTTGATTGTAAAGTGAGTAGGTTTGTAATTTTTTTTTACAAAGTAGGTATATGTTCAATTGTGACCCCAAAACCGGGTATAGATGCAAAAGTCCCAAAGATGAGCGAGAGAGAAGCCCAACAATATCCAATATCCACAAAGCGCTTGTTGGGCGTCCGTTCGATTTGAAATGTTATGCTTTTTCAAAGCCCACCAACAGAGGAGGACGTAGACTTTAGTAGTTGCCTGCATGAACTGTTCGAAACCTCTCAAATGGTGGTTGGTGCTGGGTGCTGGACCACTCCATGTGGTGGCCCGCGAATTTACAAAGTCGCTCTCCCCCCACCCCCCATGATCTCATGATCGATTCGCCCTCAAATTTCTGAATTCTTCTGAACTTGAAAACAGAAATATTAAGAATTCAACTACACTGAACGAATAAGCAAAGGAAAATAGAGAGGAACTCGGTGGAAATGAAGGATGACGATGCGTTGCCGGTATCTACGCCGACGGCACATTCAACGGTGATCACAACATCCACACTTCCGAGAAAGGAAAGTTCTAATTCCCTATTCGGAAGAGGTCGCTACAGGTTTTGGGCCTTGGCAGCTATCCTATTGCTCGCCTTCTGGTCAATGCTTACCGGTACAGTTACTCTCCGGTGGTCTGACGGCAATCTCAATGGCCTCTCCGACGACTTCGATACTCATCTCCCTGAAGATCTCGATGTTCTCGTACGTAATTCATAAATAATTTAACTTGTACTTAATTTTACATGCTAAGTATTAATTGTATTTATTGTTTGAGAAAATTAGGAAATTAATGTACTTGGCAGGAAATGGAGGAGAGGGAGAAATTAGTGAAGCATATGTGGGATGTATATACGAATAGTCATCGGATAGGATTAACTAAGTTTTGGCAGGAGGCTTTTGAGGCGGCCTATGAGGAGTTATCGAGTGATGTTCCTGAAGTTCGAGATGCTGCTATCTCTGAAATTGCTAAAATGTCTGTCCGTTCCATTGATATCGAGTCACCATCTCTCCAATCATCGGTTAGTTATCTTCTGAGTAATGGTTTTATTCCGTGAAATCAATGTGAATCTGTGCCTGTCGTATGCTTGACTTAACTTTGATATGTGTGTGTTTAGTTATCTTCATGGAGAAGTTGAAAATCTCATTTCAGGATTCAGCTTGGTGAATTAATCCTGTATGTTATGGCTTCTAGCATTCTAGTCTGTAACTTTCGTGGATATTATTAAATTCAAATGAGAATCAGGGTGTGCAAGTGTTTGTTGACGAGTATACACCACATACAAACAGCTTATCGACATTATTAAGTGGCATATTGCGGCTGGTATTATTTTGAGTGTGAGGCTGATGGTGTGTTTAGGTATAACGGCAAGTTTCCAGTCTAAGATAACATTAACTTTGCTACAACAAAGTATAGGCATGTTGTTGCACTGTTGTGCCTTCTCTTGAAACAAGGCCATTCTTTGTGGAACTTGATCATTTGTATCAATACCACTGCACCTCAAGAAAATTGTTAATATAATGTTAAATTTGTTCACAAAGTTAGCTGTCTGTCTTGAATGCATGCTTGCTATGTTACTTGTTAACCATGTACTTTGGGAGCTTTTCGGATAGAATGTGACTTATGATATGGAAGGTACTCCTCTCGCCTAAATTGTGTGACCTAGTGGATCTTTCTCCGGAGAGTAAGAGAAGAAAACTATTTGAGGTATTACACTTGAATTGGCTGGAGATATGTTAAAATAAAGCGATGGAAGATGCGAAATGGTATAACAGTGTCTCATTAAATTAAAAGTAGCAGCACTATTATCAGATATTAGACTATTATGGAAGTAGAGGCTTTTCAATTTAAGGAAACAAGGTTAGTCTCTTGGGAAAGGCAAACATAAAAATTATGTCAAACACAATATGATAGTGGTAATAAAATCTTTCATAAACTAGCAATTCAAATTTAGGTGAGGTGATCGGGAGAAGATCTCACTTTTTTCCTTAGAGTCATTTTGGTTTGAAAGAAAAGTGTTGTGAAATACCAGTGGATAGCACACTATCACACACAAAACAAATAAATGAGAAGATATAACACAAGGATTTGACAAGGTTCGGTCAAGCTTAGGTCCTCTTGGCAGAAGCAGAGAGATTTTTACACTATGAAAGAGAAGAAACGGTCATCATAATTCCCTTTCAATACCCGTAGTGTTGCCCAAACCTATAGGGTCAATTGGCCTTAGAAATAAACAAAAACATAACAAGGTCCGGACTGAGTCGCGCAATCGCTCTCCAAACGGGCTAGGATCGCGCGCCTCTCTAAAGTCTAAACATTTACCGCGGTCACACTTTGATAGGGCTAATATTGCGCAACTCTTTGAAGCTGCTCTGCAGTCAGCGGTCGCGTAGTGCCAATAAAACCAATCCTGAGCCTTTTTATTCAGGCTCCGGTCTCAGGACCATCAGCCCTCAACCTCCGCTACCAGCAAGATTCTCATTTTTTTTTCTTTTCAATTTTGGGTTACGCCACGAGCTTTTCGAGGTTGGGTTGCAATTTCGATCCACAAGAGCTCAAGACACAGTCAACAACAGAAAAAGAATATATGAGAAAAATAAAGCATTTTAAAGTCAAAATGTACTATCTTATTGATCCCTTCCCTTCCATTTCCATTCTATCCTAAAAGTTTTATCTCTTGGTTACTCAATGAGCTCCAACATACCTACTAGGTTGCCAGAATGCAAGCAATGAAACATTTCCTGGCAAAAGGTGTCCTATCAGTCTTATAGGTGCATTGCAGAAACTTTATCCTGATGCAATAGTTTTACATAAGGAAAAGAGTCTATGCTCCTTTGCCGCTGTAATAGCAAATTGTGGCTGAACGGATGTTGGTGATCTAATCTCCAACCCATTCCCGAAGTGAAAACAATGTTGTTAGGAACATAACCATGAATATTTGACCCCATATTGAGGAAAAGGCATTACCAAGTCTCCTTCCCTCATAGGCATTGCATCAGCTGTTCGATGATTGAAAGTAACTAAGAGAGTTTCCTGCATAAAAGAGTTCTCCTGCATCCTCATCCCTTGTCTTCATTCACCTCAAAATAAGCAATAGCAACAATTATAATGCCTTGATGGCTGCTGCCATCACAATCATCAGAATCAGCATGACCAAATTCAATGACTTCAGCAATTAACTGACATCCACCAACTATCTAAATATTGTTCAGCACATGCTAAAAAAATTAGAGGCATCAACTAAATCAACTGCTTCAGAGCCTCTTATTGCAGCTGTACTTGAGCACACAGCTCTTTTTTTCTATGTTTCCCCTCTTCTGAATCTCCAACCTCCAATCCACAGTGATTCTCTCTTCCAACCTCCAGGTGTTACATCACTGTGCATAACATGAATCTGAATACATATATCCATGCCTAGCTTTTGCACATCTCATATCCTCTTCCGTAAGAAGAGGCTTCTCATTTTGCTGTTGTACTCCACTACTCCCTCATGACATTTTCGACTACTGAGTTTGACTAGACTGAGAAATTTAACTTGCTTATGTCATTTGTGGAAGAAAACATTAAACTAATAGTTGAAAACTTAACGTAATAGATTTAAATAAATAGTTAAGACGAAATAGATTTTTTGAAATTTTTTGAATATTGTATACGATAATATTATGAGTAGAAGTATATCCGACATTTTGCAATTTCTTAAAATCATAAACTAGGGCATATGCCCTTGAATATAAGAAATGTAAAAAATAAGGTAGAAAGAAATCCAGAAGTTTGAAATTATATGCGAGAGAGCCATATCTTGAAACTCTTGTATATTTATAAAATATAAAGTTGTTCATCTGCCTTGGCAATTTTGAGTGCGTCTACACATGCCTTGGCAATTTATTTAAGGTTTAGTAACATGGAAGTCTTTGATAGTGGAGGGAGAGAGAAGAAAAAGATTAGTTGAGGTAGACGTATCCTAAAGAAGCTTGAGCCCTGTAATGGTGTCATTGCACCTGCTGCCTACCAATGTGCGGAAAGCTGGTGTCAGAATGGAGGTTTTTATTAAGAGTTGGTGTTGTGGAGCAGATGAACAATAGATGAGTGGAAACTTTCCTTCAAATTCGGTTTCCAACTTTCTTATTTATCTATTCTTAATAAATTGCAGTTTTGTGTTACGTCTTCCTTTTCTCCAATATAACATGTTCAATTTCCTTCAGTCTGTTAAAGTCCTTTCCTTTCCTCGTTGTGTCCATGAGATGTGCTATATTTCTGGTTTAAATTCGCAGTACTTTGGACATGGTGCTTGTTTTCAAGAACTTAATGGTCAATTTCATAAGAAGTGTTGGAAAGAAAAATCTTATTCGTATGAAGTATAGCAGCGAAAATGTAACACATCTAAATTTGGGCAGTGCTTTACCCTAGCATAATGCTTTCTGTTTACTGTGTGGTAGACTATAGAGTTCCTTCTGCGTGCTGTTCCTTGCTTGTTAATATTGGCATGAGAACAACATCCTTAATTTCTGTATAATTACAGTTCTCTCTCTGACGCACACTTGCACCCACTCACACAGGCGGATCACGATCCAAATTCTATGGGTTCAACCTTTAAGGTTCTTACTACCGAACTCATTATATCCTTAAAGTTATGAGTTCATATCTATAATTTATTGCGATTTTAGTAATCTTTTGCATAAAAAATTTGTACTCTGCGTCGAAAGTTATGGGTTCAATTGAACCCGATGTTATAGGGCTACATACGCCCCTGCACACACACAGACAACTCTCTAGCATAGAGCTGTTGGAAAAATCAACCTTTTTGCAGTTTCCTTCAATTACAAGTGCATGATGGATTGGCAAATTACTGAATGAATACTGCTTGTTTGCTACTTTGCTTTTTTATTTTATTTTATTTTTGCTTTTAAGTTTTCGTTTAGAGTTAGAAAGTAAAAGGTGACCCTTTCTTCAGCTTTCTTTCTCTCCCCAATCCCATCCACCTGCCTCTCCTGGACCAATTGCTCCTTGATATCTTCATCGACTGGAAGTGACACGTGTTTGATCTACTTCATGTATTATTTCAGGCAACACGAGAATTAAATCTGAGGCAATCAGATGACGAACAAATAATGACCACAACAGGAAGTAAATTATGACTTGAAGAACATCCAGAAACCAAATTTGCATAGTGCCACTTTTCACAGGCTGAATGATAACATATGTTCGCTTGCAGTCTCGTATACACTGAGAGAGTATTTGGGAAAAGATTACACTCATGTTCCATACATTTTTGCAACTCAGATGAAACAGGGCATTTCTTTATTTTTTTTATCCTTGCACCCTCCCCACCCCCTCCATTTAATCAGCCCAGGGGTACAGAAATAGCGTCATTATTTAAGTAGCTGTTTGCAAAAGAAAATTTTATAAGATTGTTGCACGGTTTCGACATTGAATCTCCTCCTAATTTTTACTGAGTGATTGTATTTATGGTAATACGAACTTGCAACGAAATAGAAATTCCATACTGCTTATTTGTTACTAGCCTCTGTAGTGTTTTTGTGTTGGACGCCAATAAAACTTGCAGCTGTAATGGTACCCATTATACGTAGATCAGATGTATATTTGCGGATGGCAATGCAGATGCTCTTCCTATCTTTTTTTCTTTAACTTTACCTAAAATATAGTAAAAACTTCTTCCTTTAATGGTTGGTTTTGAATATCCATGATCCCATGTTGGGTTTAAATTTGTCTACCATTAACAACTAGTGGGATCCTCAGCTAGGCTAGGCATAGTTAATGCGAAGTGAAACTTACACGGACCTGTGTTTATATTAAATCATACTAATTTATCATGATTAAGTCATAAATTCAGGTTAGAATATACTCCCTCCGTTCACTTTTAGTTGGCAGGTATAGATTTTCATTTTTACTTGTCACTTTACGCATAGAAAATAACTTTTTTTTTTTCATATTATACCCACAGTATTTATTACTCATTTCAAATCATTTTCTCAAATCCAATAAAATATGCATCAATTAATATGGGTATCATGGTAAATTATGCACTTCATTTATTATTTCTTAAGGGGCGTGAAAAGTTAAAACGTGCCAAGTAAAAGTGAACGGAGGGAGTATTAATTAAATATGGTTTAGTGATTGGATTATATATTGTCATATGTCATATAGTCATTGGGTTGGTGTAAACATCCTATCTTCCCAAATATGATACTCCATCCGTTCCCATTTACCTGTTACATTTTGCTTCTCGGTAGTCAATTTGACTAATCTTTGACGCAAAATAGGATTATTTTATGTCAATATATTAAAATTACAACTTCAAACTATACTAAAAGTATTATAATTAGTAATTTTTCTCATATCAATATGGTGACGAAATACATGTCAAAATATTAGTCAAAGTTCATGTAGTTTAACTCGCGGGATGCAATAGGAAATGCTATTTGCTTCGTAAGAATAAGAATTCACTCCTATGAAATGAAAGAGTTTCACGGGAATTGTCTTGATTGTCCGATATCATTGAGAAAGAAATAGGAAGAAGTGTTATCGATCGACTTCCTGCATTTCTTCCCAGTATGGAATGAGTAAAGAATTACAGTCTCAATCTATTCGAAACACACTAATCTTTTTTCTCTTTCTTTCGATTTCATTGATAACAGAAAAGACTTAGGCGTGAAAATTAAATGGGAATGGAGGGAATAGTTGATTGTTTTTGTTTTCCTCAATGTCTTTCCATAAGCAACATTACAAAAGATTGTTATATGATTCCTCCTTTCTAAGTTGCTCAAGACCTGAATCACCTTGGGGATAGTGTACTATCCATAAGTAGTAGGTTAATATGTCCACGACTCTAAAAACAATATTTGGATGAATCATGTAACACTAACATTTGTCTGTTGTCACAGCTCCGATGCATTCTGCCCTCTACCCTTTTTCCCCCATCTCTGATTTCATCACTAAAAATAGAATCTAAAAGTCCCACCAGCTGCACGCACTATTGATACTATTTGGAATCCATCTTCCTTCATGAGTGTTGAGGATTTTGTTTGGATTTAAAATAGCATTTCAAAGAGTTCCTTTTTTTTTTTTTGATAAGTTACTTGAATGGTTTTAGGAAGAAAAAAAAAAGCAAAAACAACTTGTGCTTCTTCTGTCCTCATGTTTTGAAATTAATCCACCCTAAAGTTATCAGAAAAAGTAATTAATCCACACACATGTTTCTAGAAATTCAGAACTCCCTTTTTTCAATAGATCGTTAAATTTAAATTGATACTGAAGTTCTAATTATTCGTCCAAAATTATAGAAATATGTCCTAGAAAAATTGAAATACTTGGTTTATATTTGAATTTAAATTGTTTTTAGAAGTAAAGGTGGTTGTGAAAATTATGTCAATCTTTAGCCAACTACTCGACTGGATTCATTATTTACTTTTTCTAACCGATATAAATAAAATATACACGTTTATACATATATTATATATTCCCTTGCTACTTTTAGTTTAAACGGTTAATTTATTAGGAACTAATCATAGTTGTATTTATCTTTACACCATCAGTTAGTTACTAGTTAGTGGCTTGCCAGCAATTTAGACATTTTTCTATTTTCTACTCACACATATTTACGTACTTTTTCATTACATTGAATAAGATACTTTTCATTTGGCGAAATACATAAACAGCCCCTTCAAGTTGTCCTCAACGACCAGCTGAACACCTCAAGTGAGCCTATTTTCAATTAGACCCTTTATTTATTCACAATAGAAGATCAACTAAACACCCGACCATGTAAGCTCCCATTGCGTGAAATCCACTCTCTAGGACGCGAGTTGCCAACCTAAAATTAGGTTTTTTCTTTCTTTTTTTACTAAAATAATGTGGACCCCACTTAATTTTCATACCCCCTTCTCCTCCAATTCTCTCCTCCACCATTCAATACCCTCCTCTAACCCTAAATCACCTTTGCCTCCATTATAAAAGAACAAAATTACCAAATATATCATCACATCAAATTCAACAAATTTAAAGTCAGTGAAGAAATAATTGCCAAATGAACGATTGATCGAGCAAGAAAATCAGCAAAATATGTGAAGGGTAATCTGATAGTAACTCCTGCAATTAAAGGGACAATTCTGCCTGGTATTACACGAAAGAGCATAATCGACGTAGCTCTTAGTCAAGGATTCCAGGTTGAGGAACGACTGGTGTCCGAGGATGAATTGCTTGATGCTGATGAAGTTTTTTGTACGGGAACAGCAGTGGGTGTATCTCCTGTGGGTAGCATTACTTATCAAGGGAAAAGGGTAACATATGGAAATAACGGGGTCGGTCTTGTGTCGCAGCAATTATACTCTGCACTTACTAGTCTACAAATGGGATTCGCAGAGGATAAGATGGGTTGGATTGTCAAGCTTAAGTGAGCTTCCAATCAAGAGTAGTATTTTCTGTTGGTGCAAAAAAATTTAACTTGGAAGTTTTCAAACACTTGTGATCCAGAGTGTATCTTGATTATTCAAAAAAAATAAAAATTGGAGCATTGCTTCAATATGTCTGTCGGGCAAGATCCAGCTGTTTTTCTAGCTCTAAAGTTAGTGGCTCAAATAGCAATATCCCTTCGAATTTTCCGGAAATTTTGATAAATGGGTCATTCGAATTTCCACAACTTTTATAAATATAGAAGATGAGTTTGAGGAAGATGAAGTTGGAGGTGGGGGGGGGGGAGGAGGAGAAAGAGACGCTTGGGGAAGGGTTTTTTCATTTTAAATTTATTTTGTTTTTTTTGGTTAATTTGTGTTAAGTTTTAATTACAAATTACACGTGTCGTTCATTGATTGGCTCATTTAGCAAGTGTAACTCACGCATCTGGTATGCTGTACCGGGGGGTCTATTTGATTTACTTAACATACACTTGAAGTGTCTACTTGATAAATAGGTATGTTGAGGTGTTCAAATGACCGTTGTGGACAACTTGAAGGGGCCATTTATGTATTTCGCCTTTTCATTTTCCAAAATTACATTCTGCATATTCCAAAATGTTCTCTTTCTCTCAACTCTCAATTGAAGAACTTGGAGCTCGATCAAGCTCCTTCAATGGAGGTTAAAGCTTACGACCTACATAATTTCTAAACTTCACATGGTATTAGAGCATCAGGTTCAGTTTCACATCACCTTCTTCTCATTCTTCTTCTTAATTTCATTATCACTATATTCAATTAGGGTTCACGAAATCCTAACCTAGAAATTTGTTCCTTTTAGCTATTTTTTCACTATGTTTTTCCCGATTGATTATATTTTCTCAAAATTTGCCTTTTATTGATACATCCATGGCTAGAGACAAGGAAAGTTCATTTGTTGTAAAAAATTTGGATTCTAGTAGCTCGCTATACATGCACCCATCCAAAAGTACGGGATCTGCGTTAGTTCCAGTGCCATTTGATGGAATTGGCTATAGATCTTGGAGAAGAGGAATACTTTGAGCTCTCTCAGTCAAAAACAAGATAGGGTTTATCAATGAAAAATGGCCGAATCCTGATTCTAATACTCTCAGTCAGTGAAAAATATGTGATGATATGGTAACATCATGGATTTTAAATTCCCTTCCGAAGGAAATAGCAGACTGCTTGTGGTATGCAAGTGACGCAAAGGAATTGTGGTAAGAGTTAGAAGATAGGTACGATCAAACTAATGGAGCCAAACTATATCAAATTCAGAGAGAAATTAATGATCTAACTCAAGGAGCGTTGGACATTACTGGATACTACACGAAAATAAAGAAACTTTGGGAAGAATTAAACACACTGAATTGAAATGCCAAGTGTAAATGTTAATGCACTTGTAGAGCTAGGGCGAGTATGCGTAAGGCTGAACAAGATCAGAGGTTGATTCAGTTTCTAATGGGGCTAAATGAAGTATACACGATTGTTAGATGAAGTATCTTAATGATGTATCCATTGCCCTCCATTGGAAAAGCTTTTTCCATTCTGATTCAAGAGGAAAAAACAAAAGAAGTTAGGCCATAAAATCAGATGATCCTAGAGTCCACATCTCTATATATTAATGTGTCAGGGAACAACACCTTCAGGACAAATTACAACCAGAATAACACAGGGAGCTTCTCTACATAGAAGACGATGATCCTCATCAACTCAACAGAATGCTCAACCTGTTGAGTTAACTACACCATCCGAGGACGATGCCTCAGTGCTCTAGGGGGATATGATATGGTGGAAAATTCCAACTCCTGCTTCCGTGTCCCAGTCGCCGAGCTCGGTATTTTGGGGTTGAGTACCGGGTCCCTTCAATTCTCGGCTGATGAGCAACCACCAACTAGCACTGTGTTTGCTGCAAATGCTTCTCACTCTTCAACTCCATCAGCTTCATCTACGTTTTCACAATCACCGACAACTGCTACATCATTTCCTCCTTCATGCGCTCTTCCACCAGCAACTGATACATCATCTCCACCATCGCACCTGACCACGAAGAAGGTGTTCCTCTTCCCCAATCCCAGTTCATGGGACATTGGGGCAAAATTATGCTGCCCCATCTGAAGATCCACAAAGAAGGAGGAATGTTATTCTTTCGCTC